CAAAGAACAGTTTCTTCATCTGTCCTGTTGAAAGCTACAATAATAATAAACAAGAGGATTCCACTTTGTCAGAAACAAATCCACAGAATAGTGTTGCTAAGCTAAAAGAGGATGACCTAATAAATATTTTAACACACAGGGATATTGGATTTATGAAGTTTGATACAACAGGCTCAGCATTCATGATCCTTCTAGAAAATCATCACGTGACTTCCGCTGTCGTAACACTGCCCTTTCCTTAGTATTGTTCGTCCCGAACAATAGCCACTTACATTAAACCAATAGAAATTAACAATAACTTGATTAAATGTACAGAATTTACAAACACAAAATTAAAATACCACAAAGTATCCTAATTTTACAGGACGTATCTTCTTCCGTACTGGCCTCCCTCTCATTGGCTTTTGCTCCATCAGGAAATGTCCCATTATTGCTAGCAGTCACATCAGTGGTAGTAACTTCATTAACGGCTTCACTGTTTTCCTTCTCAAACCGGGTAGTTTCCAGGTTTTTCGTTTGAGGTTATGTCCTCAGTATGACCACGAAATGCGAGATTCTGAGAAGCTAAATATTGTGTACTATCCAGCAACTGTCGCAGTACGTCTCTCCATTTATTTTTTTCTTGCTGAATTTGCCTTTGCAGCTCTTCATCAATGCCACTTTGAAGACGAATTCGGCACTCAGCTTCTTTCCAAGCAGCAAATGACTGTCACTATTTTCATGGCATTTAACTTTTCAATTATTTTCCACTTATAGAATCCACCTCGTGTTTTGAAAGCAGACCGACTATCGGATTTCATACATGTAGAGGAAAAAAAAAAGACAACAAAAGCATTATGCTTCTTTATGTAGAGGTGAATACACCAACCAGGAATGATTGACCTCTTGTCCATTCAGAAGGCGTCGTTTGAACCCAAATGCAGTCATAGAACGCCCATCTTTGGCATCAAATGGACCTTCTTTATGTTGAAATTCATGTGCTCCAACTTTAACAATCTCTGTGCGATGTGCATGTGTTACAACGCCCGAGTGCATTCGAGACGCCCTCTTTTTTAATATATAAGCCTGGCGAGTAAAACCAGCACGATAGGCAGATAAATAGAAGAGATATAGATAACTGAGTCAAGCCAACAGTAGGCACCGTAAGTAAAGTTTGTGAATCGCTGTGAATTATAACATGTGTTTATAAAAGTAGTTAAGTTAAAGTGACTGTGGAAATTCTGTATATTACAAAGTTGTATCGAGAAAAAATAAACTAGTTTTAATTAAGAAAGGACTTGTATCGCTGAAGTTCCTCGGAAAGAATTTATACCAGAAATTAACAAACGACCAGAAACGTAACATAGTGAAATGTTATTACACCAAAGG